GAGATGGCTGCACTGTGTTTGAAAGGAGAATCACTGCTCACGGCCATTTTCCAAGAACACAATTCTCCTTTTTTTTCCCCCATAGAAAAATGTTTACAGGAAGGGCAGGGACCAGGAGATTGGAGGAGGCTAGGACCACCTTCAGTCCTTGGTCTAGACTAGGGGTCTCCAAATTACAGCCCGCGGGCCACATCTAGCTTGCCTTGCCTTTTTATATGGCTTGGCGAACACTGCAGCCTCAGGTCCACAGGCTGAGGTCTGTTCTTTTCAGCCCGTGCTCATATGTGTGTTTCCTTCGCCCCTCAAAAATGTGTCAAATGGATGATGTAGCCCTCATGTGTAAAGGTCTGGAGACCACTGGTCTAGACAGATGAATAATTTGAACAGATAAAGTGGTTTCCTTCTCATCTCAGTTGGTGTCTTGAAGTATGTTCATTCATGTGATGGTGAAATAATAACATAATAGTCCCTACAATCGTGTCTGGAGTCCTGAAAATTTAAGTTGTAAACAGCTAATATCAGAATCCTGTACTATCATTTTTTAAAAAACGCTCTGATTGTGCAACAGCCAGGAAAAATTTTTATCAACACTTGCTAAACTGGTTTTCCTTTATCAGGATCCTAGCCCCCTTTCCCCCCCCCCTGCCAAACAAGCCAACATTTTATACAAGAGCACCCTAAATCCTGTACGGTGGCAGGAGACAAGCCATAAAGATGGAGGGAGTAGCTGCTTTATAATGCAATTCTATGATATATTGGGGGGGGGGAATACATCCACAAGATGAAAGCTTTGCTTAGTGTTAATTGTGTAGCTTTGGGTACCTTTCTTGTTGACGGTTCTTAACCGATTTCATAGCATTCGCCAAGCCACCCAGAAGAGCAAATGATATTTGGGATGTTGAAAGTCTTTTAGCAGACATTTATCGGTTGTACGCAGCCTTCAATGACAAAAGTCTTTGTTGGTGGTCCTCTTGGCTCTCTCTCCCCCACCTCTTTATCAACCTGGTTCCCTGTAGAGTTCTTTCCAGCCATTTTGGAAACTTATCTTAAACAGCTCGACTGTGTTTTAAAAAGTGCCGTAGGAAAGGAAAGATGATAGGAGAAGCACCTCCTCAGGGATTTGACGCTTCTCCCATCAGGGGAGAAGCAAAACTAGATCATTTTCACTGTTGTCTGCTCCCTGTTTTTGATCCATGTGCCACATATATTTATTGATTCAAGATGTAGATTTAAAGGCATCTATATATGCTTTGGTTGTTGTGGGTTTTCTTTGCTGTCTGGCCGTGTTCTTAAGGTTTTTCTTCCTCACGTTTCACCAATCTCTGTGGCTGGCATCTTCAGAGGATATACTTTGCTCCAAATGAGAAATGGGTCAACTAAAAGGAGGATCAAAGAAGCGACCGATCTGCATTATATTTGCATATGCAAATTTGCATGTAGAGATGCAGATTTGGATGGCATTACCATAGGAATGCAAGAGATCACTCTGCATAGGGAAAGACAGTGAGCAGTTGACTGCCTCCCCTCCATGTTGCAAGCTTTATAATAGACTGTAGAATAAAGCCTGCTGTCTGACAATTTTTGTGTTTGTTTTTTGTTTCCCCCACTGGAATCCAATTTCATCTCCACCTTCACCAGGGAGTAGGCAAGCAAGGTCCATTGGTTCTTCTGTGTTCAGCCCTAGAAGATTGGGAGCATCCAGTTTTCAAAGGCCAATTTGAGAGTGACAATCCCTTCCAGACTGAGGACAAATACAATCTGTCCCCTGTCCAGCTCCCTGATTTTGCTGCTTTCGTGACTGCCTCGTTGCCTCAGCCTGCTGGACAAGGGTCTCTTCAAATTGGGAGAGGCCGTGATGCACCGCCTGCCTCCAGGCTGAGCGCTCAGATGTCAAGGTTTCCCATCTGTTGAGGTCCATTCCTAAGGCCTTCAGATCCCGCTTGCAGATCTCCTTGTATCACAGTTGTGGTCTCCCTCTGGGGGGCTTTCCCTGCACAAATTCTCCATACAGGAGCATAATTAAATTGTAAACCACCCTATGAGTGCTATAAGCGTTTACGGGGTACTGTCTGTCATAGAAATGCTCTTCATCTCAACCACCTCTCACCAATGTATGAGAGAATGATAGAATACAGCCTGCCACATAGCGATTTTTGTTTGTTTGTTGTTTCACCCACTGGAATCCAATTTCATCTCCACCTTCGCCAAGGAGCAGGCAACCAAGATCCGTTGGTTCTTCTGTGTTCAGCCCTAGAAGATTGGGAACATCCAGTTTTCAAAGGCCATTTATTGGTGCAATCAGGATCCAATCAAATTTGTTGTTGTTTAGTTGTTAAGTCATGTCCGGCTCTTTGTGACCCCATGGACCAGAGCCCGCCAGGCCCTCCTGCCTTCCACTGCCTCCCGGAGTTGGGTCAAATTCATGTTGGTCACTTTGGTGACACTGTCCAACCATCTCATCCTCTGTTGTCCCCTTCTCCTCTTGCCTTCACACTTTCCCAACATCAGGGGCTTTTTCAGGGAGTCTTCTCTTCTCATCAGACGGCCAAAGTATTAGAGACTCGGCTTCAGGATCTGTCCTTCCAGTGAGCACTCAGGGCTGATTTCTTTCAGAATTGATAGGTTTGTTCTCCTTGCAGTCCAGGGGCCTCTCAAGAGTCTCCTCCAGCACCACAATTCAAAAGCATCAATTCAGATCTACTTTAAGTTTTCTGGGGGACTGGTATCTTGACTTGACCTTTGTTGACCCTCTACCATTCCCCTACTGCTACCTGAGAGGAAAACCTCAGCTTGAGTCCCTTGCTTCTGTTGAATTTGAAGTCTGACTGCTTTTAACTGAACTCCAGTTTGAGAAGTGACATTTGTCTTCAAAACGGAAAATCAAACAGATCCTGTGGCTAGGGCTTTCCCCACGTCTTTGTTCTTTATGTCGGCCCTCTTTCCGTGTTCCTATTCTTTTGGAGGTGGCTCAAGGCAGGCTGTGCACGTAGAACCTTTTTTGGCTTGTTACTTTAGTTAATTATAGACTTCTTCCTGATCAGTTTGGTCACCTCCACCCACCTAAGTCCTGGAGAACGAGATGAAAGGGCTACTGTTGTGTCTCCATTGAAGCGATAACACGCTTTAGATATCTAAGGCATATCCAAATTTTGCCTCCCTCCTTCTTTTTACTCTCTCACCATCTCTTTATGGCAACTTAAAAAGGACTGCAATAGCTGCTCAGGGTACAGCCTTCTTTTGTCATACTGCACAATGCTATCCTAAATACATTGTACTTGGAAATAACGTTTGGTTGAATTCAGTGGCAATTATGGCACAGGAAGCATGCATAGGATCTGCTTGTGAGGATCCCTAAAGACTCTCAGCAATGATTAAATGACGAAGTATTCAAACTGTGAAATATAAAAAGATAATGTTTGGGCCTGAGATCTACTATAGAGAGAGTGAGCGCTATATCAGAGAATTGCCTTTGGTGCCACTTGCTCTTATTTTACTAATATTTTCATTTTTGTGTACTTCTAGTTTATCATTGTATGTTTCTAGGTTGTAAACTGTCCAGAATAGCACATTGCATTAATGGGGTGGTATATCAATCGATCAATCAGTCAAACAAGCCATTCCTGTAATATTGTGGCAGATGAAGCTAAACGGCAGGAAATCTATGAAAATAAGAATACATCTGCTCTTGATGGTCCTCAATGCATACAACTGTCCCTCTGGTCCAGGGTCATCAGCAATGTTGAGCCCTGCAGTCCGTGCTGTTGAATGGCAACTCTCTCCACCCTTACCAGTGGTGAGGGATGCTGGCAGCTTCTTTCCGACAACCTTCAGAGGGCCACATATTTCCCACCCCACTCTTTTTCCATGATCAAGATCAAAGGGCCCGCAGTGGCTAGCATCTGTTTTTACTCTTAGGCAGTTTGGATGTGAAAGTGGGAGAGAGAAGAAAGCTGGGGGGAAAATAGTTTAATTCATAATATGGTAGGAGGAGAGCTATACCATGGAGCAACAGAATGATGAATAATTGGGTGCCTGAACTCTCCCTTGAATCAAAAATAACTAAACTCAGTCAAATCATGGCTGAAATCTCCTTAGAATGGCTGTCATTTGCATTTGGTCTGATGATTGAGGTTCACGAGGTTTAAATTTCTCTCTTTTCCTGGTTTGCATCAGTCTCTTGTCTTGCCTTTCTTGTCGTCCTCATCTGTTTCTTTGCAATAATTACTATCAGTTCTTTTTTTCCCCTATAGGCAAGTCATCAAAAAGTTGTGTCTAGAATTCTATCTTTTTCTATCATGTTTTACTTTAACTTTTCATCCGTGGTTAACACTTCTAAGAGTTTCATCAGTCATCTATCGATGCCTTTTGTTTCTTTTGATTACAGGAATAGTTCTTTAGAATGAGGATATGTTCAGAGAGATATGTGGATAATTTATTGATTTTTGTACTAACAAGGGGGAAGGGTTGTGTCCCTTTACAAGAGTCAGTGCATTACTGGACGGAGAATAGGGCTCCATAGAAAGATGGAAATAGAATATATCCATTGGTCTGGGGACGGGAGAGGGCATTAAGTGTATGTACATTTTCTTTAGTTTTGTTTCTTATGTACAATAAAAATCATTTTTTCAAGAAAAAGAATAGTTCTTTTGCAATCTTCCCTGGTAATATTTCCGTTTTCAATCCACAGTTCTTGGGGTTCACAGTCAATTAAGTTTAGTCTTGCAGATCTGTTTTTCCCATGGTCTTTAAATTCTTCAAGAAATCATATTTAAATCATATTTCGGCACTGTAGGGTTTTTTTTTAGTCTGCTTCAGTTTTACTCTAATTTTTTGCAGACAATAATAAGGAAAAAAATTATGAAATGATGTCTGTGATTTCTGAGCATGGCCAAGCACAATAGAAAAGACATCCATGGTGGTCATTGATGTTCTTCGTACCTTGGCTTTCAAACATCCATTGTACCGTACTTACGGCTCTTATTTTTTCCCCCTTTCTCCAGGTCCTTTCAATTTGTCCCAAGGACATGAGAGCGGATATTTGTGTGCATCTCAACCGAAAGGTTTTTAATGAACACCCAGCTTTTCGGCTAGCTAGCGACGGCTGCCTACGAGCCCTTGCGGTGGAGTTCCAGACAATTCATTGTGCTCCTGGTGACCTCATTTACCACGCCGGGGAAAGTGTTGATGCTCTTTGCTTTGTCGTCTCAGGATCCCTCGAAGTCATACAAGATGATGAGGTGGTCGCTATTTTAGGTAAGATGGATTCTTTTTAATCATTTCTCCTTACTGTTGTGCCATACTGATGGTGAACAAGCAAGTTGCAAGCTAGTACCGTTTCTGTGTAAGTTGTAGAGTGGTCATCGTGAGCTCCATATAGGTTAACATAATGGGACAGTTTTGCTGGATCAGTCCCAAAACTTGGATCGGCCCACTTTCTATTCACTAGCTCAATGGTTCCACTCCTTGTTCTCTAGATCTCGGCAAACTTCAGCTCCTAGAAATCTCGATCGTTGATCAAGTCAGCTAGGGCTTCTGGAAGCCGAATTCCTAAAACATCTGAAGACCCAGTTTGAGTCCCACCAGCGCTGTCTGTTTTGGCAGGGCAACATTCTCCTGTTCTCTATTCCATAAATTCTCAACACAAAGAGTCAGACTCAACTGGGTTTATCGGAACTTGAAGTGAGGCAACAGACATGGACAACAGGCTCAGAGTCCTCGGTCATGCTTAACAACACTAGTCCAATGTTTGGCTCCAAAGCCTCAGACCTTCTGGTTCCCTTCACTGGAAGGTTCAGAGGTCCATCAGAGGTTCAGCGAGCCCAGTTTCCAGCACTGAGGTCTCAGATAGTGTCCTAGTTTTGGGACCCAGAGTCAAGGCACTTCTGGTATCATGTTGTTCCTATGAGTGAGAGCCGGTATGCCTGCAATGAGGGCAGTTAGGTGGGAAGTATTTCCCCAGTGAGTCGTGCTTGCTCCAGCTCCCTGATCTCCTCTCTCATTCCTTGTTCCAACACCGCCACTCATGCTGTCACATCCTCTTCCAGCATCAGCGCTAGATTGGTTTTCCTGACTTGGCCTCCATCTCCATCTTTCTCTGGCCCTACTAAGACGAGTGCGGTGGAGGGTTGCGGTTTGCATATTTCTTGCCCTCCCCCTTGTGTGCATCGAGCTAGAACTCCCTTCCAGGGATCCTCCTTATAAATATAAACCGACTCCCCTGTGAGTTCCAGGTTCTCCTCCAGGGTTTCCTCAGCCAAGAATGTCCCAAACCCTTCTTCCTGGGTGTCCCACCAGGTTCTGTTGTCTAGGCCCTTCTTCTCTTTCCCCCATGCCTCTGGCTCCCATTCCATGGATTTTCTCAGGGAGAGCCCCATGTTTCCGAGAGGAGGCACTGCTTCCTGGGTGCATCGGTTTGGCAGTCAGCCTTCTTCTCCCAAGGATCTGCCTCCAGGGATAAATGGCCTCCCAATTTTTCCCTAGAGGTCATAATCCCCCAATCTCCAGGGTATTCCTTAACACCTCTGTCTGTGTCTCACTCTCTTGGGAATGACCCATCGTGATTTCTGCCTCTCTGCCCTCTGGATCTTGGACTGGCTGGGCAGTAGCCTCAGGCCCTGGGTCAGAGTGTGATTGCTTGCAGATGGGGCATTCATGCTCCTGTCCTCTCCACATGGCTCCCACACCAAGCAAACCTTTGTCACCGCCTCTTCAGCAACACAGGAATCCTAATGAGAAAAATAATTAACACAAGCATGTGCCTTGCCTTTGCAGTAGATAATCCCAAAAGAAAATGGCTGCAAAGCTGAGATGGGCACAAATTGGTTCGTCCTGGTTCGTCCCAGTTTGTGAAGGCAGCAGCACAGGTGCTGCTGCTGCTCCCCTCTCCCTGTCTCCTCTGGCTGGAACAGCCCCTCACCAGGCCCAGCGTGAAGGCTTCCGGCACCTCCTCAACTGATCTCCCGGTCCCGGCAAGGGCTCGGGCTTCTCTGCCCCGCCCTCTTGGCTGATCTCCCAATCACAGAAAAGGGCGGGGCAGAGAAGTCTGTGCTCTTGCTCATGACTGGGAGATCAGCCGAGGAGGTGGGAAAAACAAAGCAAGCTGGGCCTGGTGAGGGGCTGATTGAGCCAGGTGAGGCGGGGAGGGGAGGAGCTGCATCTCTCTTCACGAACTGGGATGAACTAGGACAGACTGTTTTGTGCCCATTTCTATTGCAAAGCCAAATACTACTAAGTTAATCCGGGATCAGAGTTCTTTCATCTTCTGCAGCCGTTGTAATGGGTCATGATGGGTGACTTGGGGCCTGTCCAGACAGGGGAATTTGAAACAGGCTGGTTTTCACTTAAAAGGTTCTTGTATTCAGTGTCATCTATTTTATCTTTCACTTGAGCAATCATTCTGTTCACACCAGAATGATTCTGTTCACACCAGAAGATTTGCAGAAGATTTGATTCTGTTCACACCAGAAGATTTGCATGGACCCTTCTGTGAGAAGGGTCCATGCAAATCTTTTGATTGCCAGCTTACTCATGAGGTTGGTGTACCTGATTAAGCCAAGGAGCAGCAGTGGAGGTCAATGCTGGTGGGGTAAGATTGTGGCAGTGGTATTGATGTGAGGGGAAAACACGGGGGTGAAGGTTGGGGAGCTGGATGGGAGGGACCCACCCTCCCCCTTTTGCCCCTTTGTTTTCAGCTGAAGCTCTTAAAGGGGCAAGATGGATCGACCCAAGTGAAACATGAGTGGACATCATCATTTGGTTCAAATCATACTGGACTTATTGCAATCCATGTGCTAACCTATATGCCAGTATGGGCAGGCCCTAGGGCAGCGATGGCGAACCTATGGCATGTGTGCCACAGCTGGCACGCAGAGCCCTTTCTGCGGGCATGCGAGACATAAGGCGCCAGATCGCTACTCCCCCCCCCCCGGCAGCCAACCCTCAGGAGGCAGCTGCAGCCGCCATGCTAGCAGTTCGACAGGTGGCAGGCCAGGATCCAGAGCAGTTGACACTAGCGGCGGATCCGGAGGGGGGTCTCGAGGCACCTCCATGCCCGGGATTCCCCCTTCCACCGCCACTTCCAATTATGTCACTTCCGGTTCTGGTTCTGACATCGCTGTGGCATGCCTCCTGCTGGGTTGTTGTTTTTCCCCTAGAGCAGTTGACACTAGCGGCGGATCCGGATGGGGGTCTCAAGGCACCTCCGTGCCCGAGATTCCCCCTTCCGCTGCCACTTCCAATTATGTCACTTCTGGTTCTGGTTCTGCCATCGCTGTGGCATGCCGCCTGCTGGGTTGTTGTTTTTTCCCTTAGTTTGGGCACTCAGGACCAAAAAGGTTCACCATCACTGGCGTAGGGTGTAGTGGGTGCCTAAATAATTGTACCTCATGCCATGGTAGCCCAGCAAATGGCTAAGGCTTCTCACTCAATGGCCCCTTTATTGACCAATTCTGATGTTGCACCTTGGTGCCTCGTATTACGACATTAATTCGTTCCAGCGAAATTGCTGTAGAACGAAAACGTCGTAATGCAAAAAAAAAATCCCATTGAAACGCATTAAAACCCATTTAATGCGTTCCAATGGGCTAAAAACTCACTGTCCAGCGAAGATCCTCCATAGGGCAATTGCAAAAGCGATCGCAAAAATGTTGTTGTAATGCAGTTTCGTCGTAATGCGGGGCAATCATAAAGCGGGGCATGACTGCATTTATAGAAATGCTAAAGACAAAAAGAAAGACTATGTCCTTTGCCTCTTAGGTTTCATAAGAGAATGACATAATACTGAAAAGAATCCAGTAAAAATGCCCTTTAAAAGTCATTTCTTTGGGAATTACTAGCCATTAAGTATTACTCATTGCACCTAAAAAGTCCATTGGAAACCGCTAGTTACATAATGACTCATTGCCTCTAAAAATCAGTAGCTACAGGTAACCATGGGATTTCCAAACTTTAGTCGTGTGATAATCCAAAGTGTTTTGGATGACCTAGTTTTTAAGGGGCAGTTAAGATCCTCCAGCCATCAGGTTCCTGGTGGACACCAAAACCACTATAATCGGCTTGTTTGTAAGGATTGTCCTTTGGGACTCTCCTATGGGAACGGACATGATGAAAACCTAGTCTTACCAATCTACTCCCACACCATGATACGCCACGGCCTCTGAGTCGGGTCATTCCATTTGCTGCTTGACCTAACAGCTGTTGGTCAGCCTGTCCTCTCCAGACTGATCTAATCTTTTCCTAAAGCCATTTTTTGACAAGCAGTTCCTTTGTGGCCTTTCAAGATTATGACAAGGGGGTTAATGACAGAAGTATGACTGTTGAGAGCTTGAAAAATAGCTGGCATAAAGTCATGTGATTGGTTCAAAATTGGATGCGTAATGGCTGGGAGATTAACATAATTTTCTAGCCCGGAGACTATTACCTGTCAGTGACATTAAAAAATCAAGAAAGAAAAATGGAATAAATGGGTACTATATTCCCTCTTTCCATTTGCTTAAATTTAGCAAGGAGCTGGAAATGCAGTATAATTGCCTATTGTAAAAGATTGCTGATGCTTGAAATTTTGGGATGCAGCAGCCCAACGAAAAAGATTATTCCTGCCGAATTCCAGACAAGTAGCTCCTGGGATTTCCTGGAAAAACAGACATAACTTTTCTTATTTTTCATACTGTGTGAACTTTCGGTATATCATGCCTTCTGAGCTCCTGATTCTGGACAATATTCCATACATGGCTCTACCATTTATCCTATCAAGCACTTGTATTCCCTTTAATATGCTTAATGTTTGCTAATGTGAGTGCTGCTCTTATACAGTGTGGTATTATCTGTGATATATGTGTGGTTGTTTGTGCACCGAGACTTTATCTATAAAAGCAGGAGAGATGCACTAAACAGGACAGTCTGAAATCGAAATAAAATACAATCTTATAAAATTGTAGTCAAAATATGTGGGGGACAGGGAGATAAGGAAAGGGCCTTTACATTGATCAGAATGGTCAAATTTGGTTTCAGGTGTAGCCAAATAGGTTTGCATAAACCTATACACAAGCAGCTGGACAGACAGACAAAAAAAATTAATCACTATTGAGACATGGCATCTTGCAAAATTTGATGGACAAATACAAGCTGAGTCCTTGGAAACTTACAATTAGAATACTCAATGGACTTAAGGGAGAATATACTTTAAGCTTCTGAGGAGCTGGGTAAGAGACCAGAAGGAGTCATACTTCAGACTACGCGTGGCCATTCATAGAGGA